CCAGCGAGGCAGCTCAGTGGCCTGAGGGAACTGAACACGCCAAGTCGGGGAACAGGTAGGGAAGAGAGAGACGGCCTAGTGTGGCAGAGGGCGGTGAGGAGTAGCGGGCAACGACAGCAGTGTATAGTGCCTGTGCAGTCTTGTGCTGACCAAAGTGCTCGCGCTCATCTATCGGCAGGGATTTGCGAATAGCAAAGCGAGCGTGGGGGTCACGAGTTTGCCACTGTGAGCGGGCAGTGCTGTCAGCAGTAGCAGCAGGGGCAGTGACATGGCCTAGGGCGTGGTCGTACAGTGAGATGTGGTTTGTGGCAGTGAGCTGTGGATAGAGGTGCAGGTCATCTAGCCAGGTGTCAAACTTTACTAGGCGGCACTCAACATAGAAAACGAGCACATGTGGGCTAGCCATAGGAGCAGTAGGAGCAGCGGTAGGAGTAGAAGGATGAGGGAGGTAGGGCGGCTCGGTTCAGGTAGGGCGGCGCGGCTCGGGTAGGGCGGCGCGGTTCGGTTCGGGTCGCGCGGCTCGGCTCAGACTGGGCGGCTCAGTTCGGGTCGCGCGGCTCGGCTCGGTCCTGGAGGGGCTCTAGCGGTCACGGGCCGTTCGAGGCCTCTAAGGGCGAGCGCGGGGCCGTTCGGGGCCTCTAGGGGCGAGCGCGGGGCCGTAAGGGGCCGCTAAGAGCGAGCGCGGGTCCGTTCGGGGCCTGTAGGAGCGAGCGCGGGGCCGTAGGGGGGGCCGCTAGGGGCGAGCGTGGGGCCGTTCGGGGCCTCTAGGGGCCAGCGCGGGGTCGTAAAGGGCCTCTAGGGGCCAGCGCGAGGCCATTCAGGGCCTCTAAGGGCGAGCGAGGGGCCTTAAGGGGCCTCTAGGGGCGAGTGCGGGGCCGATGGGGGCCTCTAGGGAGGTGAGCGCGGGGCCGACGGGGCCGTTAGGGGCGATCGCGGGGCCGACGGGGTCGCTAAGGAGCGAGCACGGGGCCGTAAAGGGCGAGCGCGTGGGCCGACGGGGCCTTAAGGGGCGGCGCGCAGGTCGCTAAGGGGCGGGTCGCGGGGCCTTAGGGGGTCGTGAAAAACGAGGCGCCCTAGGGCGCAGGTAGGTAGGTAGGTAGTGGTGGGCCCTAAAACAAAACGGTCCTAGCGAAGGACCTACTCTATACCATGTTAGAATCAACGAATAGGAATAGATGAACTAACAGTGAAATCAGTTTAAGTACCTAACCCTAGAATTGTGCACCCCCTATAGGCTAACCCAATGTAGCATAAACAAGCACAACATATATAATGTTTGACAGGGGCCGCTCTAAGGGCGGGCGACGAGGCCGTGGAAGGGCGGCGACGGGGCCGTGGAAGGGCGACGACAGAGCCGCTGAAAAGGGCGGCGACGGGGCCACTGAGAGGGCGGCGACGGGGCCGCAGTAAGGGGCGGCGACGGGGCCGCTTAAAGGGCGGTGCGACGGGGCCGCAAGGGCGGCGCGACGGGGCCGCAAGGGCGGCGCGACAGGGCCGTTAGGGGTCGTAAAAGGGGCCGCTAGAGGCGGCTAGAGGAGGAACGACACGGGGCGTGACTCGGGCAGGGGCCAAGCGTGCTCCGGGCAGGAAAAAAAAAAAAGGTTGGTGGGCCCTTGGAACAGTTCCCACGAGGGAACCAGCTCTATACCATGTGAAGATTAGAGCGAGGGAATGATTGAACTATGAAAGAGTTTGGTACAAGTACTAACCCTAATTGGGTTGTACCCTTTATGGGCTACCCCACTACAGCCTACACAAATGTATAAGCTATAATGTTCTGACACGCGCCGCCTTCGCAGCCCGCGCGTCGCGCTGCAGCCTCGCGCGCCGCGCTCGCAGCTCGCGCAACACGCTGCAGCCTCGTGCGCCGCGGTTGCCCCTGTTCCTCGCGGCTGCTACTAGACGCCACCCTAACAGCTGCCACCGTCGCTCCTGCAGCAGCTGCCACGGAGCGCCCTGCCACTGTCGCGGCTCTGCTTTGCAGCAACTGCCGCGGAGGCTTCTGCCGCCATCGCGGCCCTGCCCTGCAGCAGCTGTCGCGGAGCCTATCAAACTTATATGCGATAGTCTGTGTAGGTTGTAGTGGGGTAGACAATATGGGGTACAATATTTCTAGGTTTTCCTAAGTGTACCCACCTCTTTCTTAGCTCATCCATTCCTCGTTTCTTCAAATGGTATAGAGCAGGTTCCCTAGTGGGAACTCTTCCTTAGGCCCACCACTGAAACCTTTTTTTCTGACTGGAGCGCGAGTCGCCCCTGCCCAAGGCACGCCCAGTGGGCCACCCTCTTGTCGGGCCCTCCTAGAGGCCCCTCTCACGGTCCCTCGCGCCACCCTTAGCGGCCCCGTCGCCACCCCTAGCGGCCCCGTTGCCGCCCTTCCAGGCCCCTCGCGGCCCCTTGGCGGCCCAGTCGCCGCCCCTAGCGGCCCCGTCGCCGCCCTTCCAGGCCCCTCGAGACCCCTTCGCGGCCCCGTCGTCGCCCTTCTAGGCCCCTCGCGGCCCCTTCGCGGCCCCGTCGCCGCCCGTAGCAGCCCCATCGCCGCCCTTCGAGGCCCCTCGCGGCCCTTTCGCGGCCTCGTCGCCGCCCCTCACGGCCCCGTCACCGCCCCTAGCGGCCCCTGTCGCCGCCCTTCCCGGCCCCGTCGCCACCCTCTAGCGGCCTTGTCGCCGCCCTTAGCGGCCCCGTCGCCGCCCCTTGTGGCCCCATCGCCGCCCCTTTCTGCCCCTCCCTGGCCCCTGTATTGCCGAGCCGCCGAGCCGCCAAGCAGCCGAGCAGCCGAGCAGCCGAGCCGCCGAGCCGCGGAGCAGCCGGGCCACCAAGCAGCTGAGCCGCCGAGCTGCCGAACCGCCGAACCGCCGAGCCACCCAGCAGCCGAGCCGCCGAGCAGCCGGGCCGCCTACAGCCGAGCCGCTGAGCTGCCAAGGCCGCCGTCGAGTCGCCACTGCCACTGCCGAGGCACTGCCACTGCTGTTGAAGCCCTGTTCCTCCCGGCGGCCCCTACCCTACCCACCCGGACTGGTGAGAGCCCTCCCTGCTAGACCACTGCTATCATGGCTACCCCCAGTGTCCTTACCTTTGATGATAAGGGTCATTCTGTTGACTTCGAGGTCTGGGTCAATGACCTGCAGCATTTCCTACAGTGTGATAGGGCTGAGAGACTCTCCCTGTTCGATCTCACCTCCGGTGCCTCTCCTGCCCCGCCAGCAGATGCTGACACCACTGTTCGCTCATAGTGGGCCACTCGCGATGCTGCTCCCCGTCTTGCTGTGCCTCACCACTTACCGACTGCTGAGCGCGCGCACTTTAGTCAATACAAAAGTGCTAAGACCTTGTACGACGCTGTAGCTGCACGCTACTCTTCCCTGTCAGAATGTTATCTTATGCTCTAGCCTATAGTGGGGTGCTCTATAGCGAATACAACCCTTCTAGGGTTTTGCTATTTGTATCCTCATTCCTGCTAGTTCAACCCCTCTTCTTTCTTCTAATTTTGTCATGCTATCAGAGCAAGTCGATCCCCTTGGATCGATCCTGTGGGTGGGTTACCACCTCCACGCTTCCGCTACAACTTTTTCTTCCCGCCGTGCGCCCCGAGGCGCGCGGCGGTTTTCTGCCCGCCGTGCGCCCCGAGGCACGCGGCGGTTCTCTGCCCGCTGTGCGCCCCGAGGCGCGCGGCGGGCTTCTGCCTCGTCGTTCGCCGCGTCCCCCTCTGGAGGCGCCGCGACGGGCGACAGGGACCCGTCGCGGCCCCACCGCCCCACTTTGCGGCCTCGCCGCCTTACGTCGCGGCCCCGCCGCCTTACGTTCGCGGCCCGCCGCCCCACTTCGCGGCCCCGCCGCCTTACGTTCGCGGCCCGCCGCCCTTCTGTTGCGGCCCCGCCGCCCCACTTCGTGGCCTCGCCGCCCCACCTTCGCGGCCCCGCCGCCCTACACCTGTGGCCCCACCGCCCTCCTTGCCCCCCCGGCCCCATTTCCCGTCGCCTGTCGAGGCGACCCTCGGGGGCCGCTTGCCTGGGGGAGGGGGGCGAGCGCCGCCATCCCACCCTGCCTACCTGCCATCCCACCCTTTCAGTGCTAGGGTTTGGGGGTGGCACGTAGGGGGTGGCGAGTATGGGGGTGGCATTTCCTCGTTCCTCCCTTTGCTCCTCCTCCTCCTTCGTCTCCCACTGCTACAGCTGTCGCTGAGGGGGGTGGATGTGTGGGAGACTGGGGTTTAGGGTTTAAGGGGGGGTGCGTGGGAGTGGAGCTAGGGGTGTAGCAGCGGGTGTGTGTCGGGGAAGTGGGACTGTTTGGGGAAGTTGCACGGAGGATGCCGTCGTGTCGCCAGCAGCACCTGTAGTCCGGCAACTTTGTCCGGTAGCCCAGTCGTAGCCAGCTGTGCCAGCCGCCCGTGGGTCCGTTGCTCGTCTGCCGCTTCTTTAGCCGCGGGGCCTGTTACTCCTGTATTCCAGGGGCTTCGTCCGGTAGCCGCTGTGCCAGTCTGCCTCCTGTTGCCCGTGTGTCTGCAGCTTCAACCGTCGCCTCCTATCTCCTCTCCCCTCACTCTCTCTCCTCCTCACTTGCCCGTTGTGACTACCACTAGCTTTACTCATAATTGTGAACTCTAAACTATTGCTTCTTGAACTTGTGCTCAGAATGTGTGGTGACATTGTGATCCACCTTGAGCTTGTACTGCTTTGCTTGCTCTGCTGATTACACCCCACTTTGGCTATGGGGGTGTGTCAGAATGTTATCTTATGCTCTAGCCTGTAGTGGGGTGCTCTATAGCGAGTACAACCCTTCTAGGGTTTTGCTATTTGTATCCTCATTCCTGCTAGTTCAACCTCTCTTCTTTCTTCTAATTTTGTCATTCCCCTGCCACTGCTGCTCTTAGCCGCCTCATACTGCCGTACCTATTTCCTGACCTTGCCGCCTTTCCCACTGTCGCTGACCTCGTTACGCACCTTCGCACTAGTGACACCCGCTACTGCGCTGCGCTTCCTGCTCAGTTCTGCGCCACCCCCATGTACATCACCCTCTACTACATAGTCACCCGGCTCCCTGACTCCCTTCGCTCGGTCAGGGACCACTTCCTCACTGTTTGCCCCACCACACTCACTCTTGACCTCCTCGAGGAACGCCTCCTGGCACCTAAGAAGAGTATAGTCACAATAGGAGCCTTTAGAGGTGACCCGCGTGCCCTTGTCTTTGAGGGGTGCTCCCCCTCCCCCCTTTTGCCCTCTGTTGCCTCTGCTGCTGCCGTCGACTTCGTTGGCACCGAGTTGGTCGGTGCCGCGTCTGCCCCTAGCGGAGGACACCGCACCGGCAAGGGCAAGGGGGGCAAGGGCGCTGGAGGGGCTGGCGGGGGCGGTGGAGGTGGAGGTGGAGGAGGCGGAGGGAGTGGGGGTGGTGGTGGGAGTGGTGCCGGGGGTGGGGGCTCCGGTGGCGGCGGTCGCGGCGGAGGCGGCGGCAGCGGTGGCGGAGGGAGCGGAGGCGGCGGCGGTGGCGGCGGTGGCGGAGGAGGTGGAGCTAGTCGGGGTGGATCTACGAAGCGGGGCGGCTTAGGTGGTGGTGAGAGCCAACAGCAGCAGCGTACTCGTGAGACCCTATCCCCGCCCGCGTCCGTGGACAGGGTCACGAGCATTATTTCCTGTTGGTGGTTAACGACTACTCGCGTTACACCACGGTGTTCCCCTTGCGCAGCAAGGGTGACAACACTGATGTGTTGATCGACTGGATCCACGCAGCTCGTCTCCAGCTCAGAGAGAGTTTCGGCTGCGTCTACACTCTTACAGAGGCGGGGAGTTTTCCTCTGCCCGTCTGGGAGCCTTCTGTCGTGCACAGGGCATCCGCCAGACCTTCAGGCTTCTGGCCTCTCCACAGCAAAATGAGATTGATGAGCGCCGCATTGGCATGGTCATGGACGTCGCTCATACGTCCATGATCCATGCGGCTGCCCCCTATTTTCTGTGGCCGTTTGCGGTTCAGTACGCAGCGCATCAGCTCAACCTTCAGTCCCGGGTCTCCTTGCCAGAGACCTCCCCCACCTTGCAGTGAACGGGGACGATTGGCGATGCATCTACGTTTCGTGTCTGGGGATCTCGGGCGTTTGTCCGCGACTTGTCTGCGGACAAGCTGTCCCCCCGTGCTGTTCCCTGCGTCTTCCTTGGCTTCCCCCCTGACGCGCGTGGTTGGAAGTTTTACCACCCCACCTCGCGCTGTGTTCTGTCCTCCCAGGACGTCACCTTTGACGAGTCGGTGCCTTACTACCGTCTCTTCCCCTAACGCACTGCGCCCCTCCCCCCGCCGCTGCTCTTCCTAGCGCCAGGTCCTCCCCAGGTAGACCCTCTCCCCCCTCAGGGTCCTGCCCCGCCAGGTGTGTCCCAGGTAGACGCGGTCGAGCCTGTCGAGGTCGCTGTTGACTCTGGTGTTGCTAGGGGCGCTGAGCCTGCGGGTGCCGCGTCTGGGGGTGCTGAGCCTGGAGGTACGGAGCCTAGGAGTGCTGATTCTCGGGGTGATGAGCCTACGGGTGCTGAGTCTAGGGGTTCTAAGCCTGGGGGTGCGGAGCCTGGGGGTGCTGAGCCTGGGGGTACGAAGGCTGGGGGTGAGGAGCTTGGGGGTGCTAGGTCTGCTCGTGTGGCCTCTCGCGGTGCTTCGTCGAAGCGGGAGCTACTCTCTCCGCAGGAGCTGCGCGAGTGGTTTGCCCGGCGCTGGAGCCGTGCTGCTGGAGCTGGAGGTCCTACTGTTGCTGCTGGTTCTGGAGGTGCTCGTAATAGGGGTACTGGCGCTACTAGGACTAAGGGTGCTGCTGGGGCTGCTGGAGTTAGTCCTACTGGAGGTACTGCTGGAGCTGCTGGCGGTACTGAAGCTGGATCTGCTGGAGCTGCTGGAGCTGGAGTTGCTGGGGGTGTTGGCGCTTATGGTGCTGCTGGTGCTGGTGCTTCTAAGGGTGCTGGAGGTGGCGCTGTTGGAGCTGGAGGTGCTGCTGGCGCTGATGCTGCCGCTAGGGGGTACTGGTGTTGTCCCTGTTGGTTCTGGAGGCGCTGCGCGGCCGAGGCCGAACTTCGTTCCACTCCTTGAGCAGGTTCTTGGTCTCCCACCTACTACTGGTCCTGCTCCTCCCTTAGAGTGTCCACAGCCTGTCCAGTCGCGGTCACAGTTCGAGCCTGCTTCCCCCCTACCTGCTCCTTCTCCCTACATTGGTCCTCCTGGAGGTCTTGCTGAGCGTCGTGAGCCTGCGTCGCGTGTTTGTACTGCTCGCACTAGTAGTCGTGCTCCACGTCCGCGTCCTCTTGTGGTCCCAGGCACACACCAGTGTCAGAATGTATTTGCTATCTAGCCTGGAGTGGGGTGCTCTGTAATGAGTACAACCCAATTTAGGGTGTTGTACTTGTATTCCAACTTGTGCTAGTGAAACCACTTCATTCTCCTTTCAAATTTCTCGACATTGATCAACCCTAAACCTAAGCTACTAAGGCTCTCACTAGCCATGGCTCCTAAGTCATGCTAGTATCTCAACATGGTATTCAGAGCAGGTACCTTCCTGCTGCCTTCTTGCTTCCGCTGCCTATCGTCCCGCCGCCCCAGCAGCAGCCCCTGGAGCAGCCGCCCCAGCAACAGCAGCCCCTGGAGCACCCGCCCCAGCAACAGCAGCCCCTAGAGCACCCGCCCTAGCAACAACAGCCCCTGGAGCAGCCGCCCTAGCAGCAGCAGCCGCGGGAGCAGCCGCCCCAGCAGCAGCCCCTGGAGCAGCAGCCTCTGGAGCAGCAGCCCCAGCAGCAGCAGCCACTAGAGCAGCCGCCCCAGCAGCAGCAGCCCCTGGAGCAGCCGCCCCAGCAGCAGCAGCCTCAGGAGCAGCCGCCCCAGCAGCAGCAGCCACTACAGCAGCCGCCCCAGCAGCAGCAGCCCCTAGAGCAGCCGCCCTAGCAGCAGCAGCCCATGGAGGCGCCGCTATTGCAGCAGCCGCCCCAGCAGCAGCAGCCCCTGGAGCAGCCGCCCCAGGAGTAGCAACCTCTGGAGCAGCTGCCCCAGCAGCAGCAGCCCCTGGAGCAGCCGCCCCAGCAGCAGTAGCCCCGGGAGCAGCCACCCCAGCAGCAGCCCCTAGAGCAGCAGCCACTGGAGCAGCCGCCCCAGCAGCAACAGCCCTTAGAGCAACCGCCGCTGCAGCAGCCGCCCCTGGCCCCTGCAGCAGCCGCTTCTGGACCCGGTGCAGCCGTGGGGGGGTGGGTGTGGGGGTGATGGTTGTGGGGGTGCCAGTTGTGCGTGCCGTCCCCCCCTCCTCCTCCTCCTTCTTCGTCTCCCACTGCTGCAGCTCTCGCTAAGGGGGGTGGATATGTGGGAGTCTGGGTTTTAGGGTTTAAGAGGGTGCTGTGGGTGTAGGGCTAGGGTTTGAGCAGGGGGTGTGTGAGAGGGGTGTTGGGCAGCTGGGGGAGGTTGAGTGGAGGCAGCAGTCTTGTCGTCATCAGCAGCAGCAGTCCGGAGGCTACAATCTCCGGTAGTCGCCAGTCGCCCGTGGGTCCATTGCTCGTCTGCCGCCACTTTTAGCCGCGGGGCCAGTTACTCCAGTAGTCCGGAGCGCTGTTTCGGTAGTCACTAAGCCAGCAGCTCGTCGCTGTGTCTACAGCGTCAGCAGTCGCCTCCCATCTTCTCTCCCCCACACTCTCTCCTCCTCCTCACTTGCACTCTGTGATTAGCTCTAGCCTTACTTACCTATTGTGAACTCTTGCTCTATGCTTGCTCATTGTACTGATTACACCCCACTTTGGCTATGGGGGTGTGTCAGAATGTATTTGCTATCTAGCCTGCAGTGGGGTACTCTGTAATGAGTATCACACAATTTAGGGTGTTGTACTTGTATCCCAACTCTTGCTAGTGAAACCACCTTATTCTCCTTTCAACTTTATCGACATTCACCAACCCTAAACTTAAGCTACTAAGACTCTCACTAGCCATGGCTCCTAAGTCACGCTAGTATCTCAACAACCAGATGGCACTGCGTCCTTCCACTCCTCCTCTGCGTGTCCCGTTGCTGTCTCCTCTAGAGTCCTCTCTTCCGGTTCTTGCTGACCCGGAGTCTAACTCTCTTCGTGCTGCCAGTCCTACTATCACGCGTCTCCTGGCCACTGCTGTTATTGACCCTTCCTTTGAGTCCACTGCTGCGTGTGCCTTAGTTGCTGAGCTTGTCGACTTTGCTACTCGCTGTCGTCTAGACTACGCTGCTAGTCTCGTTGCTGAGTCTGAGTCTGTCTGTCCTCCGTCCGTCGGGGGTGAGTGTGCTCTTAGCACGGACGTCCTTGAGGACACGCAGGAGGAGCTCCAATGCTTTGCTGCTGCTTTGCCTCATCTCGTGTCCACGTTGATTGCCCTTGAGGGAGACCCGGATGCAACAGACATCCCGACTTCTCAATCGTACGCTGAGGTGATCGAGGGTCCCTACTCCTCTCAGTGGCAGTCAGCCATGGATGCAGAGATGGCTTTTTGGAAGTCCACAGGCATCTACATCGACGAGGTTCCCCAACCTGGGGCGAACATCGTCAGTGGCATGTGGATTTTCAGAGTGAAGCGTCCGTCGGGTTCTCCGCCTGTCTTCAAGGCGCGTTACGTGGCTCAAGGCTTCAGTCAGCGGTAGGGAGTTGACTACTTTCAGACCTTCTCTCCCACCCTGAAGATGACCACTCTTCGGGTGCTGCTGCACATAGCCGCTCAGCGCGACTACGAGCTTCACTCTCTTAACTTCAGCACGGCTTTCCTGTAGGGCAGCCTGCACGAGGAGATCTGGCTGCGCCGCCCACCTGGCTTCACTAGGTCGTTCCCTCCTGGTACCCAGTGGAGCCTCCGGCGGCCAGTCTACGGCCTCCGCAAGGCGCCCCGTGTGTGAGAGGACGTCCCCGTTATAATATTTTCTCACTATTATATTTTTCCGTTATCCCATTCTCCCTTTTCTCCTCTTTATTTTGGTCTTTATCTCATCTCCATCAGCCTACTATTCTATTTTCTAGAGCCTTCTATTTATTTCTCTTATTTCCTACTTTTCCCACCAACATACCTATTATACGGCACCGACAGCGCCAACAGTGGTGTATACGGTGTAATCTGAGCGTAATCCCAAGTGCCAATAGACTTGCGTGCTTATGCGCACTTGTGATTGTAGTATCGGGAAGGGTGTGTTCCCGAAGGTTCGTTTTATCTCGTTTATCCTTGTACTTTCTGAGTATAAATAGGCCTTGTATTCAGTTTTAGTGACAAGTTTTGATTGAGAATTCGATCCTGTGACACTTGGTAATCAGAGCCGTTCTCACTCGACAACTCTCGGCTAAGCAGCGGTCGCGGAAAAAATCGCCTCGAAAAACCGCCGGGGGCGACCAATTCGACGCCGATTTCTGGTAAGCACCAGTTCCGTGCTTTTCGAATTAACCCCCTCGCGTGGTTTTTGAACAGGATGGATTCGCCGGCGACCAACGACGTTACGCAGCAGCTCTTCGCGCAAATCGCCAAGATGGAAGCGGAGATGCGAGCGACGACTGAACGGTCGCGATTGGAGAACGAGCAGATGCGAAACGAACTGCAGCGCGTTACGCGGCTCCTCACGACCATGAACATTCCTGCTTCGACGACTTCGCAGCAGTCGCAGCGTCAGTTCGAGGTTCCGAAACTTCGCTCGCCGGAATCGTTCGACCCTAGCGATCGAAAATCCGACGTCAGGCGGTGGCTCGCGACGATGGAAATTTATTTCGCGGCGATCGGATGGTCGACAACGGAGTACGACGGCGAGAAAATTCGTCTCGCGACAACGTTGATGCGCGGTCCAGCTCTCGAGTGGCTCGGAAGCAACAGTAGCATTTTCCAGGGCGAAGCCACGTGGCAGCAGTTCCGGGCAGATCTTCTCAAACGTTTTGAGCCGATTAATTCCACTTATATTGCGCGCGAAAAATTACATCACCATAGGCAATACGGGAGTGTCGCGCAATACACGCAGCAGATGGAGGAATTTTATAATCGCATTCCCGACATTACCGAGGGCGAAAAACTTCAGTCCTACATCGCGGGGCTGAAAACCGACATTCGGCGCCAGGTTGCAGCAGCGAATTGCAGCAGCTACAGCGAAATCGTATCGGCCGCCGAGCGTTTTGACTTGGTCAACTCCGGGACACGACGACCCCACGTCGTCGGATCACGACAAGGGGATCGCTCGGCTTCAACCACGCTCGCCGACCCCATGGAAGTCGACAAATTCGACGCGAGTTCACGTCCTGCAAAAAACAAAACACTTTGCGAATTTTGCGGCGGAAACGGACATCGCATTGTTGACTGTTTTCACATGAAATCTGCACGTGCGGCATTCCGAGCTCGTGGGAGTGGCGAAACTAAAGACAAAAAGTCAAAAAACGGATC